ATCTGAACACATATAAAACCAGACATTTAGGTGCCTAGGGAGACTTTTGGATGAAAATGTAGGCCTCCAAGAACCTTAAACATAACTTGGAGGATACTTTCCAAAGATTTATACTTCAATTGGAAGTCTCTTCAGCACCTATCTTTTGCCGAGGACCTTATTCCACGTGAATTGCCAAACACTTCCCAGACAGTCTGCATAGAAATCAAGAACAGTCCTTTCTGTTCCAATGCCTTAATGACAAAACACCACAATTTCTTGCAGAAATCAATGTTAAGGACATCAACTTTGCTATTTGTTCAAAACACTCCATCAAAAAGTGGACGGTTTACCCTTACAGAAAATGGTTGGAACACCCTTTCCAGCCCCCAGCAAAAGTCACAGTCCAGGGCAAGGATCAAGGGTACTGACTTAAAGCTATTCCTGTATCTACCTACCTTTTTCACCCATCAAATTTTCATACTGGCAGTAACTTAAAATGACAGAAAACATGAGCCAGCATGCCAACACACACAGAAAAAAGCAAAGCTCCCTTGGCAACCTCAAAAAAAAACATTAATACACATGTAAATTCTGCACATAGACTGTTAGACAGTGAAAACAGTGTGCATAACAGAGATAATCCTGTGCAAGGCTGAAGTAGACAGATGTTTTTCATAACCACCAAAAAAAAAAAAAATCATCTTTAAAAATCTATCTTGTCAGTTATTTAACAGCACTGTGTTAATTTCCAAGTGAAAAAGATTCTCCAGTTTCTTTCATTTTAACCATTCCAGAAGGAAATTAGTAGTTTAAATTATGGGTAAATCTTAAAAAAAAAACAAAAAAAAAACAAACAAAAAAACATAATAAACTGATGTATCAATGTCATGGTCAATTTTATAACTTAAAACATAATTATCTACCATGCTTTCTCACCTTTCTGTAACTGATGGCAATGAGGTCCCTTGCTCCTCCCACAAACCTCTGTTTTTATGAAAAAGATTGACACAAAGGTGAAGTTTGAAAAAAATTTTTTTATACACATGCATGTGAAAAAGGCAAAAACAAAAACCCTCACACAGCTTTGTTTCACAACGAACATAGACCAAAGACAGAAGGAAGAAGAAAACTATTAGATATCTATTGTTTCGATAAAAGCAAGAATTTTTGAGTTTTGCCATACCGCTCCAAAGTCTTCCCACACAGACCAAATCTTGAGCTACTTATTTATTTGTTCAATGAAATATGTGAATTTTAGGAAAAATTTCATTCTGAATCTCCACGTGCCAGATATTTCTGTAATATATGGACACCCAGGAGCTGGCAATTTCCACAATACTCCAACCCTTAGGCCCACTCTACATTTAGAACTGTTCTGAGGACAGCCATGTAGCATGAATAAAGTGGCCCTATAGGTGGACATAACTTATAATGACAAAAAGATATTCTTGCTAATTTTAGTCCCTATCCTAAGCGAAGCTGTAAAAAGAAAAGGTGCTAGCATACAAAAACGTCAACATCTGACACTTCTGCAAATACTCAAAAACTGTTTTTCATTCCTGAACAGTTTAACTATGCCAATTTAGCTGAGTTCAGTTCAACTAAATTTTGCAATTTAAAAAAAAAAAAAAAAATCTCTTTATAATGAAAAGTAGACTGATACACTGTGAGAGCAATTCTCTTCAAACCCCAAACTGTATAGATCATTAATATATTTGTACGATGCGAGTACCTGGGTATTCCACTGGAGATGAAAGAACATTTTGCAGTTAAACACACCAAAGAAAAGAAGAACAGAAATGTTAACAAAAGTTGGTAGAAATTATATGCCCTTATTTCCCCCAGTATGTGAGGTACGTTGCAGCATCACTCTGACCAATTCACATGCAGTTACGTTTTAAAAGGATTTATGCCACAAACACAAGTTTGGGGTTTTTCCTGTGTAGTTTTTCCTATATGCCAATGACACTTTGTGGAGGAACTCTGAATTGCATTTAATAAAAAAGCACACAAACAACGTTTATCTGAACTCTACTACTTTAGCTATTTCCACTGAAAACAATCAGACTACTCATGTACAAAGCTGAGCTTCTGCATAATCTTTCCTAACTGAGGACCTAAGAAGGAAAAGTTAGACAGGTTGCTTATACAGCCCACATGCATGAATACGTACTTTGTACTCCCTGGGTAGCATACAGTAACCTCATTAAAAAAGGAGAGGGAAAGGAAATAATTATAAACCACACAGAACAAGCTTCAATTGTTTTGAGACATTAAGAAGAAATATTTTGGTAGATCACTTACTGTGTTTTACTCTACAGTTAAAATATTTTATACAATTATTCAATGTTTGCATGTATATGTACATATATACACAAAATATTTTTTAAAAGCATTTCTCTCTAGTACCTCAGAATGCAGAAGTAACCTGTTACAACAATCAGAGCTAAAAGGAAAAACCAAATGCAATACAAGATCCTGCTCTACTTGAAATCAGTGGCAGAACCCCTAACGGCTTTGAAAGATACAAAATAAGTCCATGAACGCTTCACAAAAGCATCAAACATCAGTATAATTATGACTTCACCTAAAAAAAAAATTTATGGGGAGGGAAAACCCTTTCAAGTTTTAAAAGTTCAAAGACCACTGCTCTATCCCTCTAGAATTAACTTGGGAAAGGCAAGCATGAAATGGTCATGGAAGTTTCCCCTCCCAATTTAATTCAGCAAAGATTAGCTGAAAAAAACTACAAAGAACTGCTGTGAAAATTTCCAGTGCGCACAACATTCTTCAACAAGATACCTCACACAAATATAGAAGATGGCAGCAGAACACTGAGAAACATATTTCTTAATTAAAAGGTACAGAAAATATAGAAGGGAAAATCATGCAGAATTACTTTGCACATAATGTTCCATTTTCCATTTTAAATTCTTAGTGAATGAGCGGTAAATTCCATCGAGTATTTAAAATCCCCAAATCCTTTACCGTTTTGTAACAGCCTACAGATACAAGGCCTAATAATGATTGACAGTGTCCTTTACTAATCCAAAACTTTAACAGCATGACGATTGACAATTCAGGGTTTCAGAATCAGGTAGATGCTTGAGATTATTTAAGAAAAAAAAAAAAGACAGAGGATGAAACAGAAAAACAAAAATGTCCGCTGAAATATAAGAGGAAAAAGTTTGGGTTTTTTTAATTTTTTTTTAGTAAGTGCTGTTACATGATAAAATATTTTCTGGGTCCTAGGTTCTGACATTATGTCATCCTTGATCTATAACTGGTTTCTGTGGCTCCACCAGCCATCTGAAAGTTTTCAATACTTACTTGTCTTCATAGTACCAAACACTGCAGTTACTCTTATACCTTTATTAACCGGTTTCAAAACCCAAGCAGAAAAGTACTGCAGAACAGCAAAACAGCATTGACACTAAAAACTTGGAAAGTGGATACAGATTGAAAACTCTATTAAAAAAAAAAAAAACTTACATTCACCATCCACTAACTTAAGTCATCATCTCAGATTCCTGAATGTAAACTTGTTTCAGCTATTAATGAGGGATTCCATAAGAGTCTGTCTCCACTACTGTAAGTGCAGAATTGGGGTGTCCCAGTTTCCTTTTATACAGTGTATAGGTACTGGAAGAACTCCTTTACGAAACCCCAGCTTTAAAATTGAGACATCACCCCTTACACACACAAAAGCATCTCCAAGCATTAAAAAAAAGGATCACTGTAGAAACATTTGTTAAACATTTTAATAAATATGGGTGTAAGATATTCAGGTACAGAAAGGGAAAACACTCTCCTGTTATCAACAGGGAACTCCACGTGTTACGTCAGTAAGACATCAGATACCTTTTGCAAAAGATGAATTACATAATGTACCCTACAGTCACCCTACCTGTAATTCCAAAGAAACATTCTTGTTACACACACACACACACACACAGAGAATGAAGGGGATCCTTTTTTAAAACTAAATTAAATAGCTTCAGTGCTAACAGCTGAGAAACAGTCTCTTAAGAAGTTGAACATACACACAGCAGTTTTACAATTCAATCCAAGAACATCCAGGGACCTATCCATGTAAGAACAACCACTGCAAATGGACAAAGCTTAAAAAAAAAAAAAAAAAGAATCATCATTGAAAAGCAAATATTAAAAAAAAAGTTTCCAAATATAATCTAATACCCTTCCAAGCTGCTTTTGGCTCTCTCCACTATTTCAGATGCAGGTATCTTCCATTTGTTTGTTTACTTGTTCTTAGAAAAACAATATAAAAACAAGCAATATTAAGAATCAATATTATTAACAGATTAACCAGGCTCCTGAACACATCACTTATTTAGAGAAAGACTTAATTCTGGGAATAAGATTTAAAAGTCTGAAGTTAAATTATAACCCCTTTCGTAGTGAGGACAGAAGATACCAAACAACTTATAAGGGCATATTCTTCCTCTTTACATAAACATGTTGTTGTTTGGAATGGGGTGGGAAGTGCTTTACCATCATTACAACAGTCACAGGCTGAGGCAACCATGAAGTTAGTGTTGATGTTATACTGGAAACACCTCTGTTCAGCATTAATCTGTAGTACCAGTAAGTGATTCATTACAAACACTGTGACAAATCATGAGGAGTGATGAGTTTTGTATCCTCCCTGGCATTTGCCTCTTCCAAGTGAGCTGGCTCATAGCTGTCCAGGGCCTGGGTGGTTATAGAGGGTTAGAACAAGCAAAAGTGGATAAAAAAACCCGTTTGTTTTTAATTAAAAACCGAAACTCTGTAAGTTAAAGAGGACATTTTGTTCACGCACCTTGAGAGACGAGGGCACATGTTCCCCAATTCTGACAAAAGAAAAAAAAAAGAAAGAGCGAGCGGAGGCTTTGAAGAGCGGGCTTCACACCCACCGCCCTGAACCTTCCCACAAAGAACAAGCAGCACAGTAATGAGGAGAAAGAGAAAAGCAGCGAGAGGCCACGGTTGTGTGGCGGCGGCGGCTTGAAATTTACCTGGAAATCAGCCAGAATCATTTCTCGGTCCATGTTGGACGCCATTGCAGCCAGCTGCGTCCCCGGCTCTGCTCTGACCCGCGCACCTGGAGCTGCTACCGGCGAGGACGGGGCAGGGTGGGAGCTAGGAGCTCATGGAGGCGCCGGGTTCCTCTCAGGCTCCCGCGGCGCCCCCGGGCTGCCCTACCTGGCA